CAGCCTGGAAATGAAGGACCTACCCTGCGGGACAATACGCATGGCGAAGTTCAACATACCTAATAACGACTGCAACTCCCTCCTGGAACACACTGGAGACACAACCAGTAAGTGCAAAGAGTCCCTGATCCTAACCAGCTTCTCCAGCGGCAGGCTGGCCTGCATGGACCCCGTATCCAGAATGATACCCAGAAAGGTCAGCACCTTCAGAGGCCCCTCCACCTTGTGGCTAGCCTTGACAACCCTTTGACAACCTACCTGGTGTTCCAAAATCCAGTGAAGGGCTTGTGCGAACGTGTCAAACAACCACGGGCTACTCTTTGACCCGAAGGTCAGCTTGACAACAAAATAATATCGATCCCTCCATTTAATCCCGTGCCATTGCCATAACGACTGTTTGATAGGCAGCAGTTTAAACGCATCCGAGATGTCCGCTTTGGATAACCAAGCTCCCTTACCTGCCAGGATGATGTACTGTATCGCCTGATCAACCGAGGAATACTTGAGGGAAAATTCCTCCGATGGAATCAACAAATTTAAACTCGGAATATGCAAAGAATGCGGAGCTGACAAGTCATAAATCAAACGATATTTATTAGAGAATTTTCCACAAACCAGCCCAATGGGGCTGACCCTCCATGAAGTAAACAGGGATTCGGAGAACGGGCCGATGACAAAACCCTTCTCCAGCTCGTCGCCCAATAAAGAATCCACCCTACCCGGGTCCGCGGCAGCAGACATCAAATTGGGACATTCGTGCGACGTTTGTGGAAGCGTGATCAGCCCCGTGTGGAACCCTGAAGTGAACCCGTCTATCAGGAACTCCGTCAACGCGGGGTTAGGATAGGCCCTCAAATACCCCGCCAGAGCCACCACATTCACCCTGCTTAGTCACGAAGGCTGCGTGCTGCGTACCGTGCAATTGACCTCGGGATGCGCCCTAAAGCCGCCCGAACAAATGTGCAACAGTCGACACTGCGGATAATTACAAGACTTGTAATTAAAATTGTTGCAGATCTGGGCTTTCCCCAGACACTGGATCGGCCTACCCAGCTTGTCGTACTGCGCGGAGGTGCCGCCAGGCGGGTTAGGTAACAACCCAGATGGTCTAAGAACCGCGGTCGTGTCGGCCAACACCGGGGTGGGGCACCAGTTAGCCGTGTGGGCGGATGACTGACAGATCGTGCATACCGGCGCCTTGAGCCCCGCGAAGTGCCTACAGAAGAGCTTGGTGTCTATCCTACCCCAGTTGGACATGAACTGGAACTGCGCCAGGCCGGCGGCGGCCTTCGCCGAGAAAGCCCTGTGGTAATCATAGAAGGCGAAACCCCCGTACCTGTGCTCCAGATCCACCACCAAGTGCAAATACATGTCCAACTCCTCCCTACGAGCAGGGCTCGCAGAGCACACCACATCCCTGTATATACCGAAGGCCAAAACAAACTCGGACACAGAAAACTTGCGATTCAACCGAGGATCCCTGGCCTTCAGTATGACAGAAACATCCCTGCAAGCGAAGGACCTGTTGTCCGTGACGTCGTGCGTGGCTACGAGCAGCGACGACAGGTTCACATCCTTGCCCTCGAGAATGTCCTTTTTAAGGTTAGCCGGCACAAAGTGCGCCGGCGTAATATTAGGGGGATAAACCAGCATACATGCGTGCACGTCTCCCCGTGTGCCAGGAATAACCGCGTCCGTGCCCGTAGGGACCTGCGTTGCCGCTGCCGCCGGAACCGGGGTGACCAGTGTCTCCAGATTTCCCATCCTCTGCTGCAACCCGTGCAACGAGGTGGTGATCCCGTTCGGCGCTGCGTGAATCTGCGTCAAAGAAGTCGCCAGTGTCTGATCAGACATGCGCTCAGAACAGACGCTAGCGGTAGCCGGGGGGAACAACAGTTTGAACAATTCCGCCTTCCTGGCTGTGGCCGAGAAAGGAATGTCCCTCTTCTGTTGATCCAAAACCAATTTTGGAATCGTCCACGCCGGAAGAGACGGAGGACTACCCTGTACAGAACCTCTGGCAGGCGTTGGGGGTAGAGACACGAACTCCTCGCTCTCTGAAACGTGCGACATGGTTGCCGGAAGCACTGAAAAACAACAACAGCAATGAAACTCCTGCGACCGGAGCAAAATCAGTGACAGTCTAAATGAGCAACAGTGAGTGCCGTACCCCCCGTGGTGGGGAACACTACTGGACGTGAACCGTTAGCCCGGAATGTCGGCCGTATGTGCCGTATCATGAACCCCAGCGATGCCTGTGGCCACCCCAGTGACAGTGCGACCCACCCCCACTAACTACCCGTCAGTATGTATCGAACGAACGTATGAGGTATGACTGAGCCCGAGGAACTAAATACATGTAAAGAAAATTATCCTCGGTGCCTCCGCAGTGTAAATAAACGAAGGTCAGTGAACGCACCTGACCGTGCGGTGCTGGGAATGAATAGTGATAAGCAAGAAAGATGTGGGCAATGTGGGTGCCCTGAATGCTGCTACAGCCGTTGTGAAGAAGTGTACGTGCAGTATGATGCGAACCCCCCCC